TTGGAGTCGGGGTTGCTGGATGGTGTTGTCGGGAGGGATGAGAGTGCAGTCCTCGCTCAGCTCAGTCAGTTGGCAGTGGTGCCACTAGAATCCGTCCATAGATCTAGGCATTGCCGAAGATCAGACGAGACCCAGTCGGACGGATCGAATGGGCAGCGCAGCTCGGCATGTTTCCTTCCAGGGAAGAGACTGCAGCGAGTCAGACGCAGCCGCCCTCTCTCCCTATCTTGCCCTCCCTCTCCAACGCTGTGCTCAGAGAGATTCGAGCCCTGGCGGACAGGGAAAGTTGGGAACACCGTGGCAGGACCGCCCCTCTGTTGTTCTGTACGCTCTCTCCTGACCACGGTTGAAAGTCAGCCAAGCTGGCGTTTAATGACTAGTGGAGGTTGGTGGGACATTTAAGGATTGGGAGCTGGGACTTGCACTCGGCGTTAAGCCCGAACTGTGTGCTGAGTTGTACTTTACCTCCGGTGCGAGATTCGAGTTTTAGTACGGACACAAGAGCTGTCTGTGCCAAATGCCTCCAGTCGACGGTGGCCTCGCATTGCCAGTGCCACACTGCTGCCTCGCATCCAATCGCTGGCGCAGTTAATACTATGGGACTGGGTGGGTTTGTGCATTTCATGGGTGGTGGGATGGAGGTACTGTACTGTACTTGTTCACTTGGTGCCCGTGCAGCCTTTTAAGTCTGCTAGTTGCAGCGCCGCTCTTTCTCTGACCGTCACCAGGCGAATCAGATGCGCAATCTAAAATCCCTCCCTCCCTCCCTCCCCCCGTCCCTCCCTCCCTCCCTCCCTCCCTCCCTCCCTCCATCCCCTTCCTCCCTCCCCTCCCTCCCTCCCTCCCTCCTCTCCTTCTCCCTCCCTCCCTCCCTCCCCCCGCCCGCCCGCCCGCCGCCGCCCACCCTCCCTCTCCTCTCCCCTTTCTCCTCTCCCCTTTCTCCTCCTCCCTTTCTCCTCCTCCCCCTCCTCCTCCTCCTTCCTCCTCCTCCTCCTCTCTCCTCCTCCTCCTCCTCCTCCTCCCCCCCCCCTCCCTCCTCCTCCCCCCTCCCTCCTCCTCAAGGCCTTCCAATCAGGATCCGAGTAGGTGGGGTCGGAGGAACGCGCCGCATCGCCAGTGTATCGGCGACGCGGCTCGATGGTGAAGCCCTATTTTCTCCACGGCGGCGACGCCGATGCGTCGCCCGCGTCGCCGATGCATTGGCGATGCATTGGCAATGCGGTGCGATCTTCGGGCCCCATCTACTCGGACATCATTCGGGAGGCCTCCATCCTCCCTCCTCCCTCCTCTCGCTGCGAGAAGATCTCGACGTCCACACCGTGAGAGGATGGCAGCACTCGACGCAGTCGACGGCACAAGGCTGAGACTTCCCCCCGTGAACGAGGCTTGCGTCTCCCTGGAGGTTGGGCCCACCCCCCACACGCTATATTCTCACGAGGTGCTCGGCAGATGGCCCTGCAAGACGTGCGGCTTCCTGGGCCAGGTCCAATTCCGGGGTCTTGCGCATCCTTGCGCAGAGCCCACACCCGACGCGCGCCGTGAGCATCTGAATGGGATCCATCGCTGGCTCTTGCCCAAAGTTTGAGTTTCGCGCCTCTAGCTGAGTTACTCTGGTGCTTGCGGTAATCCTTGTAATCCTCCTCCCCCATCCCGCTCCTCCTCCCCTCCTCCTCCTGCTCCTCCTCCTCCCTCCTCCTTCCGCCTCCTCCCTCCTTCCTCGTGGTCGTCCTCCATCCAGGCCTCCCACCCAAATAACAACCGAGTTAATGGCGTCGGAGGATCGCGCCGCATCGCCGATGCATCGGCGATTCGGCTCGAATGGGACCCAATTTTCCCCACGCCGACGGCACCGATGCGTCGCCAGCGTCGCCAAGGCATCGCCAATACATGGAGATGCGGTGCGATTTGGAAGGCCACCATCCTCTCCCTTCCCTCCTCCCGCTGCGGAAAAGTCACGGCATCCACCTTGCGAAGCAATCACGGCGAAATCATATTCTTCCTCCTCCCCCTCCTCCTCTCCAGGTCTCCCAAATGGGGTCCGAGTAGATGGGGTCGGAGGATCGCGCCGCATCGCCAGTGCATCGGCGATGCGGCTTGACGTGGAGCCTGATTTTCTCCAAGCCAAAGGCACCGTTGCGTCGCCGTCGTCGTCAGCGTCGCCGATGCATCGTCGATGCATTGGCAATGCGGTGCGATCTTCGGGCTCCATCTTCTCGGACCTCATTTGGGAGGCCTCCATCCTCCTCCCTTCCCTCCTTCCGCCGCGGAACATTCGCGGCGTCCACCTCGCGAAACAATCACGGCGAAGTAATTTTCGTCCTCCCCCTCTTCATCTCCCCTTTCTCCCTCCTCCTCCTCGTCTCCTCCGCCCTCCTCTCGCCGCGAGAGAATCACGGCGTCCACGCTGCGAAGCAATCACGGCGTGAGAGTCCTGGACCCCTCCTCCCTTCCTCCCTCCCCTTTTTTGTCCATGCCTCCCTCCCTCCTCCTCCTCCTCGTCTCCTCATTCTCCTCCTCATCCTCCCTCCTCCTCATCCTCCCTCCTCCATAGTTCTTTCTCCTCCATCCTTCCACCTGCCCCCTCCCTCCGCCCGCCCTCCCTCCCCCTCCTCCCTCTCTCGACGATGAAGAAACAACATAAAACATAAGCATCCACTGTCCGAGGTCCTGGCGGATTTCTTGGATTGGCGCTGGGGCCCTCCTGGCAGTGCCTCTGGCGCCACCTCTGGCGCGCTCCGCGCGCCAGTGAGGGGGCTGGTGCCGATCAAAATCTGGACTTCGGATCGCACTTCGGACTTAGGGATTTTTGCACTTAGGGGTTTTCTGCTGTGGTTGCACGTGGGGATGTTTGCTTGCGTTTCTACGAAATTGGATGGGTGTCCCGAGGATTCGCCACGATCCGGTCAGTTGCTGCCCCGTTGTCGCCCAGTGCCGCCTGTGTGTAGTGTGTGTGTGTGTGTGTGTGTGTGTGTGT